GGGGGGGGGGGGGATGCGAAAGATGATCAGGATGGTGGTGCCTTGATGAACGTCGATATTTCTTCTAAGCGTCCAGGGCCGAAGAGGTTGGCATGCCTTCCGGGTGTGTCAAGGGGGGGTGCAGACGAAAGGGGGTACGGTAGATCGATCGCGGGTGGGGAGAGGGTCATGGCGGTACCGGGACGAAGTGATGTTTTCCATCGCGTTACCAAGACAATCAAAAGGAGGGGAGTAAGTCTAAGGAGCATCCAACAAAGTCGAAATCAATATAATATCGCACCCAAGAGACAACAGTGATCCATCGTAGAGGGTTCTGCACTGGAGTCGCTGTTCACCTCAGATAGTCGATGACCTCTATGACGTCGTTCTCCATCTTTATGGAGAGGAGGTTGGGGTACTCCGCCAGCATCGCGGCCACGTCTTCGCTTGTCCACGCTAGCGCTTCGCGGTAGTACGACACCTGATCATCATCATCATCGTCATTATTATCATACTGCCGCATCATCATCGCCACACCAATCAACCACGAGGCAGAGGGGCGGTTCGGGCAATACGGCAACGTCTAAACTAAAACAGTCAGTCCCACCCCCGATCCGAGAGTCGCCCCCTTCCCCTTCCGCGTGTGCACCCCGCACCTTCATCCGCAGGTTGTCCCAGGTGTGATACATGAGCATGGGCGGACAGCCTGCGAGCGCGGACGCCAGCTGACCCTTCCCGTTCAACCCAAGCTCAGACCGGAGATAACCAGCAACGTCCTTGGCGTCAGAGACATCCATTCCGACCAGAGACGGTGTCGTCGTTAGCATCTCACGCACCTAGCGGGGAACAAATAGATAAAAACAAAAGTCACGGAAAAGAAGTCACACCTGACCGACGACACGCCCAGACGGAAAAGTGAGAGGGGTCCGACAACAAAGAAGCCAAAAATGCGAGTCCCCGATTACTGCAGTAGATACCGTTGACAGAATTTCGGTGTGCCCGACAAAAATCGATCGTTTTCGTGCCATACGGTAAACAAACAAATGGACGAAAGGGCACGTCCGTTGACACAAACAAACATAACGTCACGGGTGTTTGTTGCTGGTGCCTGCAGCATCGGAATCTGCGAAAAAAGCCAAAGCACTTGTCAGCACATGGGTCATGACACACGGGGGTGTACACGGCGAAAGGGAGGCCAGCCGGTACAACCCAACGCTTCGACGAACAACAACTCTTGAAAACGAATTCCCTTGGCGCAGCCAGAAAAACAAAAACCTAACCTAACGTCGCCCCCGCGAACGAGCACCAACATCAGCATCAACATCCCCCCAAAACTGTTCCGAATGCGAGCTATCTGCGGGCCCCCTTGCCTGCTTGCGGTCGAGCCCGATTCCCCCCCCCTCCCCTTCCTCCCCCAGAAGCAGGTCCAGCAGGTCCGGCAGCGTCTCCTCCACGAAGTAAACGTCCAGAAATTTCTTTCCGGTCTTGGAGCCCCCGGACGCAGGCTCGCGCCGGTACCACAACTCTCCTCGGAGTGGGGGGTACTTAGACCGAAGGTAGCCGATACCCTCCTGTGAAGTGGTGGAGAGGGCGATAGACGTGCGCACGGGCAGGGTGTGCTCGGGGAGGGTGTACTCCTGTAGATGCATGCCGTAGTAGTTAGACCGTTGACCACGCGTCCTCGAGAGGACAGAGGGGGTCAATCGTTGTCCACAAATACGAACACCGTGGGTTGCATGAGATATCACACCCCCTGGACCTATAATCAAATCTCGATTTCTCTGCAGCATAATGGCTGACTTCGCTGAAGATGGTGGTGCTGGGACCTTCACGCCGAGAGATTCCCAAGAACTTGTAGTTTGACGTTGACATCTTCCTCGTTGTGGAGCGATTGGGCCTTGAAAAACGATCCCGGGGGAGTGGAATGGTATCTTATGCAGCCAACGGTAGCGCTTTCGGTAAGATGGTTGTTCTAACCTTGACATGGTCGCTGAAGGGATTGTTGGGGAGATACTCCGCCCATAGCCATTGAAAGCGATGCCCCCTTTCAGATAAAATTACAGTTGGAATGGTTGGGGGGCGAGGTGCAGTTGCGAGCTTCTTGAGAACGAGGGTGCCTGTGGTTTCACTCGTACATGAAAGCTACGGTCAACTCTTCTACCTTTAAACTGCGGCATTCCGAGAACTAGGAGGAGACCAGCAAGGGAGTTGTCTAGAACCTCACAGCAACAATGAAACACTCACACAGGGACCAAGCGGACCCCCCACGATTCTTGAGCACGCCTTCGCGCGATGGAAAGCCTCTTGAAAACAAAGACAAAACATAGGTGACACTTCGACACGCACACACGAACCTCGTCGAAGCCAAGCCGTTCCTCCAAGATCCGACACGCCTCCTCGCCATCGGAAACCTCGATCTCGTTGTACACCCCCGCCTCACCGTCGTCGTCCTCGTCGAAGTCGATTTCGGCGCCGTCTCCTCGCAAGATTCCGGCGGCGATCAGCCTCCGTTCTACCTGAGACCGGAGGGCGGGGCATGTCGGACACAAGGAAAAATACGCTAGTACGAGGAGCTGATCTTTGTGTGTGTTCGTCCGATCTGTTCTGGCGCCAGCTCACACACCTTCCGGTGATACGCGGGAGATTATTGCTTCTATAATGCTCGAACCTTTTCCTCCTCCCGCGGGGCTTACCTTGGTTTGTTTTGGGAAAATACTAAGAACGGACGAAGAACACACTTTAAGGCAGCGTGACACGAGACCGTATCCTGGGTGGTATTTTGGGGGAGCCCAAAATGGACCGGGCTAACACCTAAACCAAAGGATCTTCCGGCTGGTGGCCATGTACCGTGCGTGCTAGTGGTCGGTGCAGGCAAGCGTATACGTGAAGAATAAGCGCCCAATGGGAACCGTCTCTTGGCGAAGAATTTCCGCGAGCACGGAAGCTGTCCGCGTTAACGAAGGGTCGGGGTCCGGACCCAATTGAAAGCTGCACAGACAAAGCTACGCCGAGAAGTGACAACAAGTACACTGCAAGGAGCAAGAGAGAGGGTTTGGCCTCCTCCAACAGTCGAGGCATTTTTGTCACACTTTTCCTTTCTCCCGCAATGTCTGAAAGTAACACGAGGAAAAACTTGGGGCAAAATATGTTTTTTTGTCGGTTCTTGAACCATGTTCTGCAACCTTCGCAAAATATTTTACCTCAACAAGTTCTCTTTGTTGTTCGTTTGTGCGTTGTTGATTGTTTTCCCTTTTCGTGTCGGAATAAAGGACTGATATACTTCGGGGCTTACGACAAGCGACAGGAGAATGTGCAGCCGACCAAGAGAACTATCGCGATATCGTCGAAATAATCAAAACCAACCATAAATAGCAGCAGCAGCAACACCCTTCCCACACACCTCGTCTGCCGAAAGCCCTTCCAAGCTTCCAGCACCGCCTCCACCTCCGCCACCCTTGCCCTTCGCCGCGCCCCCCGGACCACTCTTCCTCGCCACCTTCTCCACAGGCCGATCGCCACCGTCACTTTCATCGTCACCACTACAATCGTCATCATCAACCGCGATGGCAGTAGTAGTAATAGCAGCAGCAGCAGCAGCAGGAGAAGCAGCAGCGGGATTCGCACTTCCGTATCCCTGGACATCGGAATTACCCTCGTCGTCGAAAAAACCGTTAGCGTCTGGGGTATGCCAATTTTCCTCCTCCTCCTCCTCCTCCTCCTGTTCGAAGGCAACGTCCGGCTGCAAGAAATCCGAACTATCGAGTAGCTCCGGGGTAACTGCGTCCTCGGCGCTGTCGCCCTCTATCGAGCCCACCGGAGTGCCCTTGTCGGCTCGAAGGCCTTCTGCTTCCTGCTGAAACAGGGTACGGGTTACCGCCCACACAGTCCGAAGGATTTGGTTGTTAGGTCGATGGCATACCAGGCGATAGTTTGGACGTCGCCCCACGCCGCCGTATGTAGACGGCTTGCTGCATTTGTGCTGGCGTTGCGGGTCCGAGAGCAAAGAATTAACTTTTTGGGGTGGGGTACGCGAGTCAAACTATGGCATGGGGACTCCGAATCATCGCAAGGCGCACGCGCAGCAATAATAGCACCTTGGACCTCCTAACCCCCGTTAGGCAAACCCAACACAGAAAGAGTATGCCCGCGAAGACACAATAGCCCCCTTCTCCCACCACCCTCACCCACCGTGAAAAGTCCGCCAGTCGAAACGTCAGCATCTTCCGACGCAGCGGACAGTCGAGAAGCAGACGTTGCTGTTCCCCTGACTTCCGAACACCGGAGCAACTTGCTGGGTGAACGCGACGCGACCTGCTGCTGCGTAAGATACACCATGCATTTCGATATCATGAAGGAAATTATGTTGGCGCAAGGCGAGAAAGGGGTGAGTGGGATCAAGAGGAATGGCAGGAGCGTGGGCCATCGGTGGCACACGTTTCGGATCGATACAAGTTCCTGCGGCTGCTGTTGCTGTCCTTGTACCGCGGCTCCGTGAAATACCACGGGGCCAAATAGAACAAGGAGTCCTGGGGGGAGTCATGTGCACGTACTGTAGCATATTAGTAAAATTATCGCTGGCGTTCTCTCTATCGTGTACTATTTTTTTAAGGAAGGAGCGGTGCATTTATGTGAGCCGGAATTGTGTTAGCACCTCGCACGGCCAGGTGTAACAAAGAGCAGCGCTCCTGTAGTACCGAGTAGGTCCTTCAAAGTTCAACCCCTGCTTTCGTAGAAAGGACGTCCGCATTCTTGTGCTGTTGCCCGACAGCATTATTTAGTGTGGCGCCAAAACATGATACACAATATCACGATATCAACTAAAATCTGCACATACATAGAAGAGCATGTGCGGGAACAAGGCAAAAAGGCTCTCAACTTGTCCGATTGCTCTGCCTAGATGGCGGAGGGTAGATCATTTTTGTTGGTACGCGAGCCGACGATCATGTTTTGCGAAAGCACTGCCATGGTCATGCCTGAGTGTCAGGGAGACGGCATAGACTGGTCTATGAGCAGGGTACACCCGCAGGCTCAGCGGCAGAAGCAAGACCCCGATCAGTTTCTCAACCTGCAGGCCTCACCCTGCTGGTGCCCATTCTGCCTGCTGCTTCAACTCCTGCGCGTCGCTGTCTCTCACACCGCACCGATTCTTGGCTCACCTGTCGGCTACACGCACACCGACCACCTCGTGATGAACCAGCTCCCCATGGCAATGGCGCTTTCCCCAACTTCAACGAGTATCCGACCCGATAGGTCGCCACCAACAGGATCGCTACAGTCGCCCTCATAGGCCAACCGATGACGGCCGTGCGACGCAAGCTGCGCTTGGAGCCTTGGTAGACTTCACATGAGGTGGGCTGGGGTTTGGGCACCGGGTTTCCACACAGCACAAGGTTCAAGCGGCGTTCTGAGGTTCTGAACTCTGACCTTGTAATCCAGCTGACAATGCCGACATGTAGTTTAGGTAAGTATCGCCGCCATGTATCCACTTCATGCAACACGGTGCGGGTGCTGTACTCACGTGGAACACCAGGGGAATAATTCCTTGACAAAAGAGTGCGGGAGTCTTGCTCGTGCTCCGTACTTGAGCAGGTTTTCATGTTAGAACTTGTTTTGCCGCTGTACCGTTTCGGCAACACGATCGCCCCGTGCTGTACTCCATTTCACCGCATCCGATGGCCTGCGTAAGCGCTCGCCGCCGTAGCTAGCCAGAACAACCACAAAATCGCGATGGGGTCAACGCGATCAAGGACGACACGCCACGAATGATGTTGATTGAGAGAGGTCCAAGCGCTAGCTTCGCAGGAGCATCACGATACGTTATTACGGCATCACGGAAGCGGCGGCTTCTCGTGAAAGATACGACGGCTGCGGCGCCCAGAATCCCGGAGTGCTACAACACATCGCGGAAGAGAAGAAAGATCAGTTCTCCTATGCAACCAATGACAACTCGTCGAAAAAGGTGTTGTTACCAGAACAACGGTAGAGCAACAACCACGACAGCATGTCGCAACAGCAGACGCCCTGCGAGTGCCAGGCGTGCCTCAGACATCGAGGGTGTCCGACGTGTCCCACTACCGAAGAAGGACCACCCACAGGAGCAGCACATGGACCATCACGATGCGCTGTGTGGGCATTTTGGAACGGAGTACCTCGGAGTTTCCAACGTTGCATTCGCACCGCCCTTAATGCGCTATCTCGAGAGCCCGCAACATGGGCGCCAAGCCCTTAGATCGTCGAAGCCACCTTCGAGGAGACTCTCCACGGGTCTATTGGGTTCACGGATACGCGCAAGGGCAGCGTCGGCTGGAATGGAAGCGGTGCAATGCCGACGCCCACTCTCGAGGAGCAACACGTCATGGAGAGGGGGAGCTGCATGTCCCGACATCGACCGGTACGGCCATTCTTCCTCGTGCTCGACAGCGCTGAGCGGTGAGAATCACGAGCGTTCGGCAAGTCTTGAAGAGTTACACTCAGGCTCGGAACAGACACGTGGGACATCTTCCCGGCACGGGTTGCTCATTCCTGTTGGTCCTAACTGGCGGGAACACGATCCTTCCCGCAGCAGCAGCGATGTGGACGAACCTACATCGGTGAGGAACGCAGACGAAAACACCCACCACGGTGATGATGATGGCGACCGTGCAGGCGAGACGCTGTCAAGAATAGGAGAATCTCCGCTCGAGGTAGGCGAGGGTGCCATCAGCGGTGGCGGCCGCACGAACGGTGTCGACGACGGAGACAGCAGGGGAAGTCGCCACGCGAGCCAGCGACAGGAGGAAGGGTGGACAAGACATGGCCGGGACAACAACTTTTTTGGGGTTGCTACAGAAGGTAGAACGTCCAAGGAGCATGGTGTGCGCTGCGGCAGTCGACGTCGTCGAATTCCGCGCAGCACTGCTTGGGACTTGCTGACGGGAAGGAGAGTGCGACCGGGCCGCCGAAAAGGGTCATGCGACATCCGTTTGCCTGAGGTAAGCAGATCTGTCTCTCACAATTGCGCATCGCCCAGTTTTCCACACCAGCAACGACGACCTAATTTACCATGTCTCGGACGGTTATCGAGTGGCATGCAAAAAATACAACAACATACGCTCAGATATCCTCTGGGACGCAAGATAGCCGGAACGCAACGGGATGTGCTGTGGTAGCTGGTGCATGACCGAAGGAAATAAAATATTCTGGTGGTTCCAAAAGGATAACAGCACAACGATGGCCGTACACCGCCACGGCTTTCATCTGCGCTTTTAATCCTTTTCTTCTGTAAAGGTATTCCGTTTTTGGCGGCCTTGGAACGACATGCAGAGGGAAACATGCCCAACGCTGACGCTTTCGATTATCAACTTACGTCGAACAACTTTCAGGAATCACCACGCTTCTCGGAAAAACACTGGATGTCTCAGGCTGACAGCAGAGTTCACGATGTGCTCATGAAGCCGGAACCGATTGGATGGGAGCCATCACGAACCGCTCCTCTCGACTACCCGACGCGTTCGGTCAGGCGAGGGGTTACACGATTTCATGAACAGGTGACGCCCTTGACATCGTTGCTGAGCAGTTCTTCGTCCAGAAAGAATAATCGTTTCGGTCCGCCTAGCCTAAGATTCCTCTGGTTGCTGTGTTGTCGTGGGTGAAAATTTAAATTTTAGAGTATCGCATTTGGCTTTACTTTGCTATTGTTGGTCTCATCGCCTTCCTCTCCTCAAGGGCCACCGCGCCGACGACCGAATCCGCCTATTCGTTGCAGATACAAAGGACACGGTTGATGGAAGGGAAAGAACCGCTGGACGGCCTGCCCGACGTCCGAGAGCCCGAGACAGGGGTTCGGCCAGCAACCGTGGTGAGAGATTCCAGAGCACTCCGTCCAACGCGGTTTCGGGGTTGGTTGGTGTTTGCGTCGCGGAAACCGCTCTTCATGTAGGCATTGCCCTGACTCTAACGGGGCGGAGAATCACCTTTTGGTGCGGGCCCCTCCTTACAATGCCGCGTCACCTCCTGCTCATTTGCTCAAAAACTTCGAACTTGCGCTGTATGTAGCAGAAAAACAGGATGAAATTTGGCATGTTTTCGACCTTTTTTCTCCTTTCATCATGATTCAAAGGGTCCTGTGGCGATGCAAACGTAAGAGACCAGTGCCCCTTAACTTACCTACAGACTGATACCAGGATACATGGGACAATCACACACGAACACACGTACCTCTTGCGAAGAACACGTGTCGTTAGGCACGAAACTAGGGTAAAAGCACACACGGAACTCAGACTTGGTTACGGATATCAAGAAAGGCACACACCTGTTGATTGCTCGGCGTTACTCTACCCCGTTCGCCATTCAAGGTCCAACGCCGACGTTTCCAAGGGATGCCGCCGCCCCTCCGTTGGTCCGAGGAGAAGCACATGGTCCCGGGAGAAGTCTTGGTCACCGTAGAACATTGTGCGGCATGCTCACGGCATCGCATGTCTCTTCATCACAATGCGGATGCCTACATGTGAGGATTTTTTTTCCACCCCTATATATTCTGAAGTGCTAAACGCTGTATCCCCTGGCCCGAACTGGCGGAGTGTTTTGCCGTAATTCGCCAACTGTACTCCCATGATGCCGCAGCCTGCCGTACGTTGCACACCCAAAGCTAGAAGTCTTACCTTTTCAATCCTAACGATAGCATCATGTTGTGCTCCATCGATCGAAAGCCGACGGGCCGCAGCCATGAAGACCTCCGCGGAGCAAGCCCTGATTAGCGCTGGCCGACACCCAACCGGGGGGGGACAAGGTCGTGGTCCGAGTGCAGGGGCGCAGTCCATGCGAGTATCACGAACGGCGTCCGTGGTTACTAAACCTATGACGGAGGCGTCCGCGAGCGGTGGGGTTGGGCGAGTTGGAGCTTTCGAGGTTCAGGTGCGACGAAATTACAGACGAGCGTTCGAGTACTGCGCTGTGTGTCCACAGGAAATTTCGGGAATACCACGCCATTAGGGAAGTTCTTGTGTGCTACTAGCGGTAGGTTCTGTTGTACACTTTTTGGCGCCTATTGCATGCCACCTCCGTCCGAGCGACGTTGGGTACATTTCATGGGAAAGAAGTGCCTAATACTCTGTGCAGCATTGTGTGTGGATTGTTGCTTGTGCTACCAGCCGACATGCAAGGACATTAAGCCCTGGCCAACCAGACACCGTAGATACTCAGCGTCGGCGATGCCGAAAATGTTTAGGTGTGCACAGCGAGGTTCGTAACCTTCGGCTGAAGCGAGCGACGCAGCAGCCTCGCCATCACGCGGAATTCTTCCTCTGCGTCATTCCTCCTTCGACGTACCCCTTGCTCGTTTCTTTCGATCTCTCCGTACCACAAGGTCACGGCATGTCTGCTCTCAAGACAAGCACCGCAAGCTGTGTCAGCGGTGCCTCGGAGCGGCCAAGTCCGCCAGATATCCCCTGACGTGATCGCCGGTGCGAGTCACATCCGATCGGCGACAGTTTCGTCGAAGCTGGCTTCGGGAAAGTGGCCGCACCCCGAACACGTTGCCAGAAGAATCGTCCAAACCCTTCAGCAATGGGGTGCACTAGAACCGCAACAGCAAGAACAACAACGAGCGCCCCTACAACGCTGCTCAGGCATGGGCGGGACTGACCACCCGAGCAACCTAAGCGGTGGCAAGAACCGTTTAGGAAAAGGTGAGAGTCATGCATCGGCGACTGGGCACGTGGCACAGGAGCCGGACACCCAGGAGCCTAGCGAAGGCGACGATACCCGTGCTTCCTCGGGTGAAAATGGAGCGTTGGGCACAACAAAAGCCGTAGAAAGGGTTCACGACGAGCGACATGGCAATGGGGCCGAACATTCATCATCGGACGGGGAAGGAATGAAAGGAGGAGCCGGAGAGCTTGGTGTTAGCGATGGTCGGTCTGAAGGCGGTGTCGCTGGAGCCGGCCGCACGTTGCTAGAAAGCCCTGACATGACAGCTAGCAACATTTTGCCGCAGGGACAAGGTGTTAACAACAGCACGAGTGAGGTTCCGGTGAGCGGAACAGGAAGTGCTGCGAGGCCCCATGGTGGTGAGACTGCGACCTCGACGGTTGCACCAACGATGGAGGCGTTTGACTTGAGTGTGGAGGACGCTTGGGCTGAGGTGAGACCCCCCCTCACAATGTGGCCTTACTTATCCGTGCATGCAACGTCTGCACCGAACGCGGCTCGAATCGGATTGTGGCTTTGTGATGGGGGCATTGGCTGCTGCTGTAAGCGGCGAGATCTCCGACGGCTGGAGGACAGGCTGTGGCTCCGTCTCCACCAGCTGGGCTTGGTTCCATGCCGAGCACTCCGCTCGTGGTTGGAGGGGCACGACGCGCAGCAGTTTCCATTGCTCTTCTCTCTGCATAGTTTCCGCGTGATTGTTCAATACGTAGCGAACCACGACTCCTTTTTCAGTGCTCGTTTGGTACATGGTTTGGGGGCCTCCTACAACTTGGTCATGCCGGCAGGACGGAAGCACTCGGCGACAAATATTTCAGGGGCACGAATAGAGCTCCAGACCATAACCGCGAGTTGGCTTTCGTCGCTTGTCGTACTCAAGGGAGTGGAGTTTGCAGCAGAGGGGAGCACCGCAGACCCGTGCTTGCTCCTGCGGGTGGGCAAGCGGAAGGGCAGGAAGAGCAAGCCCGTTGCCGATGTTCCCGGAGGGCCGGGGGGGCAGTGCCGCTGGCCGTCGCAGACATGTGTCGTAACAGGTCTCGGGGAGGAGAATATTCGTTCTTCGGGCTTGGAGGTAAGCCGGTCCGGAAAACCGAGAAGCGATGTCGCTAACCTGATTGCAGTAGAGTCCAGGAGGAGCTTTTCGTCGAACTCGGGATTGTCGAGGTCACTCGTATCATAGCCATGTCCAAACGTACCAACTGTTGCGGCTGATCAGTGACTATTGGTGTTGCCGACGATGCCTTATGTACACAGAGTTGTCTTGGTTACCCCGATCATGAGTACGACTGGACCAAGCGTCAGAGGCGTCGACCGAAACGCAGGCTCGCATTTTACAAGGCGCAACCGATTCACCATGCGCACCTCCCCAATCACTTCGAGCACGTAGCGGATCTCAATCCCTAGTCCTCGTTGCTTGCACGTACTCTCGTCGTCGTTGCCTTCATAATGCCCCCTTGTTTTCCGTGTGCTGTTAAAGGTTGAAATATGGGATGACCTTGGGTGGATCATCGCTAAGGGTAACGTATCCCCCGACGAGATTGGCAATGCCCTGGACGTTGCGGTAACGGCCGCTCGAGCTGCGCCTGCGACTGCTGTTTCAGCCACGGAAGGGTCTGTAAGTCCGTCAACGCCGCTGCCGACTGTCACATGCGATCTCAAGACCGATCGCGGTCCCGTGACCACCGGCAACGGCCGCGTGACGTTCGGGGTACGGCTTCTCAGACCAGAGAATGCCTCTGTTGACAGCAGGCATGGCGAATGCGCAACCGATGGTGCCGTTAGCTACAACGCAGAGGAAGGTGATGACGCAAAGGAGCGATTGTCACAAACGTTACAGAACATGGAGGACGGCAAAGTGTTACGTCGTGTTGATACAACGACCCATGTGCAGGGAGACACGACTGAGGCGCAGCACGCTTCAAACGCCACAAACCTTACTGTAAAAAAAGCCGTTCGCGGCGACGCAGGAAGGGTTTTCGACGAGATCAACGACCTCTTAGGACTCACGTCCAACGGCAGCGCCATTGGGAGCGGGGTGCCTACGTCGTGCTCTGGCGCGGCATCCACGGGCAGCGGTACCGGTGGCTCTGGTGACTTCTCTTTCAATCTCGGCGATGGCTTGCTTGGCAATGAACACCACACCAGTGTAGACGATCTAGCGGGCGAATCCTGGAGTTCAGTAGAGGAAGGGCCCCTTGCCACTTCAGGACAATGTAGACGGGAGAGCGGTGGGGGCTTGGTCGAACGCCCACGGAACCTAACCGCCTCGCCTGCGGTCTCGATCTCTGACAACGGACGGGCACCCTTAGACAGGAACGGGGTCGGTGGGGGGGTCAACCCGCCCGCCGCTCCGTTGACCCTAGCCGCAAATGAACGTGGCACCGCAGACTCCTCCAACCCTTCCGATGGTGTCGACGCTGACGACTACAGCGACGACGACTTCTACTATGATGGCGCCATCGGAGGCGCGGAGGGACCGCTCGACGTCCGGAGCCTTTTCAGCTGCAGCAGCGCGTCTTCTTCTGCCTCGCTATCCCTAGAGAAAGAAGCACATGGTTTGACTTCCGCTGAGGCGAGGGGGGCTCCGCAGCACGAGCGAGAGGAGATAGCCGTCGGCGCCGCCGCGCAGATACTACGGCGACGCCTTCGACGAGCCGCAGAAAGATGTGGCGGCGGCGGCAATCTTGGTGCAAAGGCAGCGCTGTTGTTCAATAGACTAGATGAGGTGCGATAATCGTAGAACAATGCGCTACCTTGTATAAACTGTTAGGTTTGCGGGATGTATCGGATGTTCGGCTTTTGACGCGTTGAGATGGAGCCGTTGGCTGCGAAGTCGTTGAATCGTTTGCTCTCAAGCGAGGTCACTCTTCCGTGTCACTAGCTTATGAAACGTCGTTCGCAAACCTCGAAGAAATGCTCACGAGTGATGGTTGACATGTGATGACACACATCTTGCGCGTGGTTCGCCCAGCACCAAAACGAAAATCCTCAAGGATGCCGTGTGCCCAAAATATTCCAGGATCAAAACGGGCAACTTGGCGTGGAAGAGCTAGAGAAAGCTCTCGCGCCCACGAGGGGAAAACGCGCTGAACGCACGGAAAACCCTGTGTTGCCGCCATCGCGGGTGATGGCTGCGCTCGTCGCCGGCATGGACCGGGTCGGCAAGCAGTCGGCGAACCTGAAAGAGTTTCAGGTGCGACTAGCTGTGAAATGCCTTCAGTCCCGAGAATGCGATTTGTTAATTCGAACTGGAAAGCATCTCGTCCCGGCAATCCGATAGTGAGGAAGGACATGCTTTTTAGCCCCCGGGTAGAACGCTGAGCGTTGCGCTGATATTAACGCTTCCCCACCACCTCACAAGAATAAAAATCACGACGTTTGGCGTCATTAATCGGACACAGCAACATAAACGTTCGTAAATCCTGCCTACGGATTGGCGGGAGGGTACGACACCCAATGAGGCATATTACACGCGCACGTACGCGGACGAAACCGCGACTCCCATTCGTTTTCTCAGGCGTTTGTCCTAGACGTACCCGGTAGCGGCGGGAACACGGCAACGGACGCGCCAACCAGCCCCGAACTGTCCAGAGGCAACGTCGACATGGCTGCTCTGTGGCTTCGACTGAGGCGTGCCGCAATCGAGCCCAGCAGTCGGCACGATTGCAACAAAGATGGAGTCCAGAGGCCGATCCCGGTGTCGGCTGCGGGTACGAACGGTGGCGGGGGTGAGGGCAGAGCGGAAGATCAGGAATCGATGCCGGGGGAGCGGGAATCGTGGAGCGCTTTGACGTGGGAGGGGCCTGTTGACGTGTCGAGCCTAGGAAGGGAGCGTTTCGAAGAGCGTGATACGGAGGGCTCCGGCAGAGTACCTTGTCACACTTTTCGTGAGGTGAGCAGCCCGTCAAAGCTCGAACATTGGTCTTGGCGAGAGACAGCTCGTCAGCTTGTGGCATTTTGTTGTCCGCGTCTTGCCGACCACGTGTCGTCCCACTGATCCAGCTACCAGCCTGGGTGGAAGGACAGCGTACTATTCATGTCATTCGCCGTCTCGTGCAGTCCACTCCGTAGCTAGCTCGTGGGTGAATGCTGCTTTTCCTGACAAGGCCAATTGCTCTTTGTTCACCCTTGAAATTGGACGGAGAGAGAGAGAGAGGACACTTGAGTAACATCGGCTCCCCCGGCGGCAACAACGGTCCACAAGGAGAATCATGGTTCACGGTATCGAACGTAGTGATCATTTGATTCCTTTTCCGACCACCCGCCTACCCCACCCCCGTTCCAGGTTCTTAGTGGTCCCGGAGTGCAAATAGAGCCCCCATTGAGCGAAGCCGAAATGGAATCTCTCTGCAGGCACTTCGATTCCAACTTCAAATCCAAAAGGTTGCCGGTGGGGAGAGATTGGAACGGCGAAGCGGTCAGATACCCCGCGGGCCGCGAGGAGGAGAACGAGGAAACCAGGGAGGTGGGGTGGCCCGTCCATGCCGATGCCCCGGTCTCGTACCGCGCACTCTTGGGTTGGATCGATCCGATAGACGTCGGCCGTGTCGCCAAAAGGTGGGTCGGCGCCACCGCATCGACGACACAAAGACACACCAGCAATCGGCCCTTGGTTACTCAGTTTCACTGACGAGATTCTCGCACAGAATTTGATGAGTGCCGATCTTGCACATTGGCGAGAAAGATGCTGAATGCTTGTGCCTATAGAAAGCAAAAAGACGTCCTGGATCTAACTTTGAAAAGCAAGATTTCCCAGCGGGGATTCCAACAACCATCATTCCTATCCCCTTAATCACGAGAGGTTGTTATTAAGGATTTGGTGCACACGGGTTTCCGCCTTTGCCGCCTTGCAAACACCCCCTAATTCGTTTCTCTCTTCTGCGTGACCGCCTTCCGAATCCACGACCGGCCAGGGTATCGCGTTTTTTGCGCGCGGTGGGTAATCCGGGCTCGAAGATTGGTGGTCCTGTAGCGGAGCAGGACTGTCGAGATCAAGGCATGCCTGCGAGGGCGTTGGGAGTCATGGGGCCCAAAGTTGGGGGCGCCAAGCCTGGGGGTGCAAGAATCAAAGTGGCTGCATCCGCAGATATGCCGAAGGCAGTAGAGGTGGCGGGCGTTGGCCTGGGAGGTGGTACCGCTGCTACTCGTGCTGCTGCCTCCGACGCTCGCGGTGGTGGGGACGATGCAGATGACGATAGTGTGGATGGTGGAGTGGACGTTTCTGGTGGCGGTGGTCACAATGGCGGTGGGGTGGAAACGGTAGAGAGGAGGGCAATCGTGAAGCTGTTCCGGGCCGTGGACGTGGACGCCTCCGGTCACATTTCCCAGGAAGAGCTCCTAAAAGCGGTAAGACGAAAGCACCAGATCCGTGCATTTCTGCGGATGACTGCTCCAACTCCGTTCCGCACTTGGCATGGATAGACAATACCCACCTTAAGTTGGGCTGAGCTTGCCGAATATTACACTGTAGTCATCATGAACGGGCTGGAACTGCGCTAATGCGGCCCACCTGCTCCCACGCCTTAAGCATGGCGGGAAATCCGATTAACTGCTTCGCTTTCGAATGTTGCCAACGCATTGTAAATACTTGACGACCCGACGAGCAAGCTACGCATCTCTCGACAGCAGTAGTCGCGACGAGCTAGACATGCCGAGGATACGATAAGGGTAACGTACCATCAACATTTGCTGCAAATACCACGTGGGTTAGGTGCACTTGCGGATGAAAACTTGCATCCCTATTCTTGTCAGATGTCTCTAATCAACGGTTGTCGAACCTTTTGGTTAAGAAAATGTTGTACTAATTTTATTGTTGTATGGGTAGGCGGTTGTCGTGTTTCTACCAACAATTTACTTCTACATGAATATTTGTTATTGCTACCTCCTTCTTTCGCAACGTTTTCCTACATCCCTCAGGTGAACGGCCTCGGCTTGCCAGTATCCGAAGCTGAGGCCCGGCTGCTCGTTACTGAGTACGCGGGGGTCGCCGGAGGAGGCCGTGCCGATGGGAGCGGAGGGAAAGGAACGGGCGAGGGGCAGCTGTCGCTCGACGATTTCGACTGCATGGTTCGGTGGCAAAGCCGTGCGTACTGACTGCTCGCATAGAGGTACTAACGCACTAAGATAGTACCCCTCGCAAACGTTGGGACTACCTTGTAGGAAATACATGGAGCACTCCACCCGACCGTAGTTCTGATGAGGTGCGCTGGGACTTTTATTGCAGCGACGACTTGCTATGGGTTGGTTTGACCATCGAGCTGGTCGGCCTTCAGATCAAGACCAACCGCGGGATGGTCTTGTGGTACGAACGGCGTGATTCACTACCCTAGATTGGCGAACTTGGTTCGGTGAGAGTATCAACATGTGGGCCATGATTGTTGGCTGTGGCCCGTACAAGTATAGATGGGGTTGGCTGATCGGAGTTGTGTTTCGGTATGGTTTTACATCAAAGTTGTATCCTCGTGATTGAGTTGACGGTGCCGGTCTCCGTGCATTGAGACCAAGGGCAACATGGAGTGATGCAACCTTGAAGCCTGAGCCAAAAAGCTCGACTTCACGCAACACTGTGTATTTTCGCGGATAGACTTGGGTAGTGCTGTGCATGCTTTATGTTCCAAAATAGCAGGGGTCCTCCATGGGGGCGCGCTCTACCACGAAGTTAATCGTTCTCTTGTGGGAGAGCAGAATTTGCATGAGAAGACGAGACTCGGTGGCAGTTGTAAGCACGTTGAACTTCACTGTCCTGGGTGTTATAAACGAACCATGGCCGTTGTGCTTCATGCCTCGTGGTGAAACCATGCCCACGACATGTATAATACTCCACGCAAGGGTTATTCGAGTACTTCGGAGAATTGCTGATTTGAACTCGGGAGCGAGTAGTTTCATCTGTGGGGTGATAATGGACGGGGAGCATGGTGGGAAAGTGCTAAAAATCATTCTCATGCGTGGGGGCTACAGTAACTATTGTGAAAAAACTACCGCCACTCACGAAGAAGCGGTTGTTTTGCTACATCTCGATGCCGTTTGTTCAGCACACTCAAGGTAAGGTTCTTCGTCTATTCTATTGTCCCTGACAACCACACAAGCATGGCGTTGGACAAGAAATATTATAGTCAGTGGCATCCTCTTGTGTTACCCCGGCTGATATGTCAGCTCATTATGGCGCCATATACGATTAATACACCTACGTACATCGTTCAACTATCGTACCGTATTTTACTTCAGAACCCCGATCTACTCTAGGGCCAAACAGACAACGTCATTCACCTTGTTGCCTCTGCCTACATTGCTGCACCATTTGGCTATCTTGCGTATGTCTGAGAGGCACACAACAATTACTCCTACGTATCGCAGGGGGATCTAGGACAACACTATAATGCTCAAGTACATGAAACGCTACGCTCGCCGCTTTCTCGTAGGCATGAAAAGAAAGGTGGTTCTAACGCCTAAATATTGCTGCGCTTCCAACTCACACATCGAAAAACTAATATGAGAAGTTGTCAATAATAATCTACCCTAGGCCCGTTCAATTTATAGCACTCGTTTGACTCCGCCAAGCGTTCTCGACCGCAGCGCCCGCCGGACCTCCCACTTTGCTATGCATCCCAGCGACTGTTGTCGACATGTTGTGAGAAGGATCAGGCATCGAAAGGGCGGGTTCAAGATTCAGCTGAACGTAAACGCATTTTGTTCATTCCTAGAACCGAAACAATGAAAACAGTACAGGGCCATTTGTCACGGAGGCAGGCCAAGTACGTTCGCCCCTCACGAGTAAACAAGGAGGACCTTACTCTTTCGCAGACACCATCAGGATGCCTTATCTCGGCCGTCGTCTGGGGTTCGTCACCTGTGTGTTCTCAAACAACACGTAGCGTATCGCTGTTCTCCCTACCAATTAGTGAGCAAGCAGTTCGGTATCTCTCCCCACGCACCGCATCAGTGATGTAGCGCAGGCAGAGGATACCAGATCTACGGGGCCCCCCATCTCCCCCCATGTCCTCGTCCTCTCGGGTCCAGCTCTCGGGGAGAAGCCATCCTTGGATGTTGGGAGTCCCCCGGGCATGGGTGTACGTCTCGTGGTCCCAGTTTGCTCCTGGTTCCTCGACCGCGAGCTTAATGAGGATCTGCCAACGGTCCATGTTGAAGTGTACGAAACAACCTCGTTGTACAGCCGGAGAAGGTTTCGTGCTTGCAATATTGCTGATGTAAGAGCACTGATCCAGACGAGAATGTCGTGCACGCTTTGCCAAGCACGTCTCCTATGTGACCGTAGCTTGGGGCAGTTGCCATCACAACATTATTTAGGGGGTCCCTCCCACACATTCAGGTTGTTTGGCGTTGGCATGAACTAGAGACAACCTCAATCAAGCGTTTTCCCTCTCGTCAGACACCCCGAACCCCCGCCTAGGGTTTCATGAGCCCAAAATGATCGTGGCAAGCTTGAAGAACCGAAAAAATGGAGGTTGTGTTGGTTTTGTGGTGATTACTTTTCTCGAAGGGGAAAATCATGGCATCCCACTACGACAAACGTTTCCATGCACCGAGAAAGAGACCAGTGGCTGCCCCACGCCCTCGCCAATCGATTTTTCATGTTCTATGTGAATGTCAAGTGCATGGAAATGAACCGAACTCGCATGGAGAAAAACGTTTACTCCATGTGGCTGGTTCCCGCGCGCTGCCAATGAGTCAAGCCTGATCGAAACCCTACTCGATTTCGACACACAGCAAGAGAGGCCGATACCAACAGCCGCCGGTGCAGAGAACCGTTGGGATCTAAACATTCGACGCACTGTACCGACCTTTGCCCACTCTCGTTCCTCCCAGCACTTGAGATCCAGCACATAGGGTCCGTCCGGCTGGTTGTTTGTTGTCCGAATTTCGTGGAAGCCCCGCGGGGGCCGAAATATGGTATGTATCAGAAAGAAGAAGCGGGTAAAATGCACCATGCTCTGAAATGTACGTTGCTGGGGAACATGTAACAGCCCCATGCCCGACCTGAGTGCAAGGAGGCTATGTAGGCATGCCTAAGAGCGCAGGAGCGCGTTGCGGTGAAGTCCAGGGGCAAGGAGATCATTGTAGCGTCAGTCGCCACTTGGGGCCCAGAACTATTGTTGTGTGCTTCATATTCCAATTTCAAGGGAGGTTTTCGTTGGGCTCGTACGCGTTTTCCAACAGGGTTCAAGACACTGTGGTGATTCGTGCTAGGTGTCAGATGGATTCCCAACGGTAACAGCGTTACCGTTGACGGCGGCAAGGGTTCTCTAGACCCCAAGCAATGTCGTGGTATATCGGGTTACACCTTATGCCAATTCCCGCTATTTGTGTGGGTTCCCACCCAATCACAGGCAAATACCGCCCCAGAAAACAAACCACACTATAGCACATGTTTTGGTGGCCATCGTCTCAGTTGAGTTTTGAAAACGGATACACTAGTCTTGTGCCAGTTCAATTGAGTGACTCATACCCCATGACACGGTTCCGTAGCTTGATGCTCAACGACAAGGTTATGGCCAGTCACGTCAGCTCAGCTTACCCTGACGGGATTCAGGACGTTCAGGATGCCCAAACGATGCTGCAGTTCCCGCCTCTCCTCGTTCATCACGCAGCTGAGAACCACCTCGCTGAATCTGTCCACGTCTACGATGCGGCTGAACACAATGATCAGGGCCTGGACTCGCCCAAAGTCCTGCGGAGGGAGTCGCACCGAACGTATGGCACGGAACACATAGCAAACACTGAGAATCGCAGGGACTTTGGGGGCAGCAAGGGCAAGAGCTGTTTCGCTATGTCATTTGCTACATGTCAAATCTAGGCTGCGAAAGACCTCCGCCACGTCTTGGTGCAGCACTGACCATTGGCGTGTCAATCGATGGGGGGTGCCCTGCTAGTGAAACACGTTGGGGTTATAGAAGCAAGGCTCGGGAACCAACCCCCCGCAGAAGCTACATACCTCTAATATTTGAGCCATTCGCACGAAGCCGGCGTCCTACATTAATTCCATAGCTCTTCGTTATTTGATCCCCGTTTCAGACCAAACATACTTGGAGCGAAGAACGGTCATCACACAGCATTACATATGTTTCTACAGAGGGGTCTTAAGTTTGTCTCCAGCTTTGTAATCACACAAGCGTACCCACACTCGCCCTCGCACCTGCCACGGAAACGCGCTAGCAATCTCCATCGCCTGCTGACATGTGTACCACGCCGCGGCTGCGACGGTCTGAAGCATGAGAAGGCGATGGAACACCCATCGGTAAATCCGCGTCGGGGCGATCGAGGCACCTACCGCAGTTGTGCCTGCCCCGGCGGCGTTGCTCCGCTGTGCAGACGTCAGGCACGGGGCGGGATGGGTACTTCTCGATCAGGTTCCGGGGTTCACTACCGACGTCGGAGCACTACATGTACAAGTTAACAGCGGCGGAAAGGGGGCGAGATCTGAAGTGGGTCGATATGTCCATGAAGTCCGCGCTGTCTTCATCGGAACGCGCCGTAGTGCCTGAAATGCCCACGAATCCTCTGCTCGTTTGGCATGGTGCGGACGAGACACTTGACAGGATTGATCAACGTAGCTTGATTTTGGAGCGCAACTGGCAGCCGAAGACGCACGTGGTCCCGATAGGAGCGCTGACAGAAGCTGAGAAGCGACGAAAAGAAAGTTTTTTTTCGCGACTCACTACTCACGTCTCCCCCTCCGTGCGGCCCACCAGCACCCCCGCCTAGACCCCCTCCGGCCGTGGCACCAAACGCCGCAGACGAGGACGAGGTCCCTAGTGGCGGCGCCCGGCCGCTGCCCTCCGCTCCTCCCCTTCCCTCCCCCACTGTGGCCGAAAAATTGGCGCTACTACTGCCGCCGGCGTCGTCAACACCACCACCGGGGGCGGTTAGGGACTGCTTCGCAATTTCGACATAGTCGAGAAAGAAGTGGCTCGACGCGTGGAACTGCTGCCAGTGTTCGATCGCGTGGGAACTGATTATACAATCGGGGATCTGTTAGGCGGGAGGCAAGCAAATAGCAGATAGCAGAAAAGAAGACAGATCAGGCCATTGATGGTGGTAACGGGTGAGACTCGAGACGATATCGGTGGTGGGGGAATGCAAGGGGGAAGGCAATGCAGGCGGGTCATTGGAGGTTGGGCGACTCGGTGTACTCCGCTACTACGTGCTGGAGAGTCTGCCCGCACCGGACTCGAGGCAGCACGTCGTTCCAGATGCTTTTCCTGGGTTTTCTACTGTTAACTATACACCAGGTATCCACTATTACCCCTCAGCCAGTTGCCAAAGTAGTGCTCCCCCTCCATCCCAAGGCTGGCAGCAAACACGTTTCAGGCACGGCCATCAATTCCATGCTACATTGGTGCAGAGGGGCAAACCCCTTCTTGGCGAAGGCGTCCACCCCACCGCCCTCGTTGCCGTTTTCGATCAACGCACCTCAACTGTCGGGATTGTCTCCTTCAGGTGGGAGTCCTTCGCCCTGAAGATGCTATACGCATCGTAGTGGTACGGCAGCTCTGCAGAGTTCATGGGGCTTGGAAGGCCTCGATTTTGCTTGACATCACGGACACTGCCGCCGTTGCTGGCGGTGCCAATCTTGGGCAACGTCGTTTTACTTTTTGGATCAGCGTTGGTATTGCTCAAGCTGCCGTCGTCATTCATTACAAGCTTGGCAGCGTCCGAGGCTCCTCCTGATGAAACAGCTGTACCTCCTACGGATGCCGTCTTCGGAAGGTTTAACGCCTCCCTCTGGAGTGGTTACGCAAACGAAAGTTTCTTGCATGAGGCTTGGGTCTAAAGATGCTGCGTGCTTTGGAGCGTTTGGCGATCACGGATAGGACTACCGGCGGGTCCCAAGGTAAGTACATTAAATGTGCAAGGATTGAAGTGATGCAGCCCGCTCCTTGGAAACACACATAGCCGGCGTCGAGACCTTCGTGGTGTCGCTCCTGGTAAACTTGTGCCGAACGTTTCAGATGATAGAAAGCGAGGCTTGCATGGCGGCACGATCACCTCTAGACTGATAAACGACCACATCTGTCTGACGCGACCACCTGGACTGCGGGCACCACCGCGCTGTGTTGATACATGCATCACAAACGACGAAGGGACATGAGACACGGCAGTAGAATAAGGCCGCAAGGAAGCGTGGCTATCGCCCCCCAACAAACCCCGCAGGCGACGAGCACCACTCACCGCCGTTGCGCGCTGCCATATCCTCAGACCAAGTTTGTTGTGCATCCTTTCGTACTCCAGGATTTCGTAGGTCTCTCTGATCTGAGCATCGACGAAACAGACGGAAATGGCCCGAGGCGGAGGGTGGGGTCGTGCGACGGCAGGACAATGTTGCGATCTACCGAACCACCACACCAACAAATCGACAGAGCATGTTCAAGTGGGAGAATAAGTCGACGCGATGAGGGTCAGTTCTCACGGGGTGATACTTCAATTGGGCCCACTGTCAGGCCAAAACCTAAGCCCAACACCGAAACTACAATGGCTCTTGGGGGAAAGGTGCTCAATATCAAGCACAACGCGCGTTTCAAACCTCCTGCATCTCCTCGTTTACTCCAAGCAATGCCTTGAGGGACTCGAAGCGGGCGTCGCTGAGAGGCTTCACGAAATGCCGCGGTCTTGCCATGGATATCACATCCATCCTGATCGTACGGGTTGGTGCGGTAAAAGAGTTTTTGCGTTGATGATTCTTGCGTTGGACGCGATGGTATAGTGCCACATACGCTGTATGCTAGCCCGATCCTTGTGTCTCAGATCTTGAATGAGCGTCAACTCAGATTCATGTGTCGCTCATATCTTTTGAAAGACGCAAATATTAAGGTTGGCTCTTGGCTGATCGGCGATACTGAAAGACTCCGGGCTAGGTGAAACACTCCTGCAGGTGGATGGTAGGACCCCACACGTGAGTTGACCTTTCAATGGTCGAACAGGTGAAGTGGACCGCAGGCTCCTCACGGAAGCCATGATTGCCGCATGCGGTATCGGACGATCTTTCCGGCAGAGAAAACCGTCCGTTGCGGCTTCGGAAAAATCGCACGATCAATCAGAATTGGCGGCAGGTCTGAATCAACACATCACTAACGATAGTAACGCCCCCAACCTGAGATTTTCTCTTAAGACACGAAGACCGTCCAAATCGGAGGCGCTACCATTGAGCAGTAAAGGTTACAACGTGTGCTGCAGCGTTGTCTCAGACTCCGGCCAAGAACGCCAACTCGTCATCCCTTGGGGCACTTCGCCCTTGCACCTTTACCACATACCGCCTTGTTGGTCTCACCTTTGTCGCTTATACAGAGAGCGCCAGACAAAGGTAAATGTTTTTTCCTTACAGGAAACCAGGCCTACTGACAAGTCGTGTTGGAGTCCAAGATACACAACACGATGAACGTTTCACTGGGCCGATATCAGCGACATTCGACATCTGCCAGGTATCGTTCGGCAACTGCATAAACATATTTTGATGCCTGTGAGAGGTCGGCTAAGGACGCCGCATGATCGTATCTAATGAATGCGAAAGCCCATCTTGTACAAGTTGGGGTTGACTAAACCCCACAAAAAAAGCACATGATATTTGTGTAAGGGGCCTACATGTCCCAGTTTTGTCCCCACAGGGGCGATACCGGCCAATTTCGATCCATGCAAATACGTACAAGTTTGAACACAAGCCTACCGAAGTGACTGGAGCGGAGAAAACAATTTCACCTTTGTGATTTTTTGTCTTACCTAATTGTACCTCTGCGCGGCAGCTTCACGAACCAATCCACGGAAAGGTTCTGGGGCACGGTGTCCATCACTTCATTTCGGAACATCTGTACAAAGATGTTGATTTGTGGTATTATGATGTACAAGCACACAGCGAAGACGGTGAACGAGATGCAGTGGTGTACCAATCGATAATGCGTTTTCGCACCGATGGAAAATCGAAAGGAAGCGGTGAGCAGGAAAGGATAGTGAAACGCAGCGAACAGATGGCTGTGGCTTGACGCACATGACTCCCATGAACGGTGACGCTTGCACACAAGAGTGCAACACGATCACGAAGTTATGTAGTTACCCAATACAATACCTGTAGGTCGCAGCACTTACGCAATACACGTTCGCGTTCTGGTGTTACACAGCAACATCCCTCTTCGGTGCATCTCGTGTAGATATCCACAGTGCATCAAACTCTGAGTACTCACGAACACAGTATATGGGCCGCCACAACCCTCGCACCGTCGCCTAAGCTAAGCGTATCAGACGCGTAAAAATGTCCGCGGTAATGACAATCATGCACAGCGTGCTACAGAAATAAAAAGCGTGCATGTAGGCGTGTGTTAACAAGTGGTTCCGAGTTTCTCCGTGAAGCCTTCGGGTGGAGCGAGAAACCCCGGCGTTGCGAAGAAGCAAGCGCGGACATCAACCCTCTTCAATCTACGAACATCGTATGACCCATTTATTAGTGCGACGCAGCTTACCATACGATGTCGATATTTTACTCGAAGTCGGTTGCCCTCAACTAAAAGCGATGATGTGCGTGTCTGGCCAGCGGTATTGGGTTTTGGCAAGGGATCGGGTCGAGGACGTGGCGCTCACCATTCGGTTTCCTTTCTGAGACGTGTCGCAAGCCCCGAGCTTGATGGATGCGGACCTCTCTGCGTTCGCAATCTCCCCAAGCTTCGGTGGGAATCGCGTTTGGGGAAGGAAAAGAACATAACCTTAGGCGAGCTGCGGCCGTGTACGGTACGGTATGCACAAAACTCCCCTACCTACGGCATTGCATATTCTATTGTTAGTGTCACAGCGATAGGTCCCTTGGAAACACGCCCCTTGGCTGGTCAAGGTGACTAAGACAAACTACATGGGGGGGTGAGAGCTAAATGCGAATAGTGCACAGTGGGTGTTTGGATGTAGGGGAAGCTTTTCTCGGCCCAGAGAAAATGCATAGAGGCGAGACTTCTGCTCGCGTAGAAGTACTCATTCGTCTTCTTGCGGGAAGATATCGGGATGAACAGGTTGGCAGGGGTGGCATGACCACATTCTGACCTTGATGGCCGCCATCCTTCCCTGTGCTGAGCTCAAGTCTAGCGTGTAGAACCCGCTGGGATTTCCCATGATTGCGCGGTAGAGCCCCTTCATGCGAAGCGCTAGCCTCAGCCTCTGGTTTGCGTTGAGGAACGATTCTAGAAACTGAAAACGCGGGCAGGGTGAAAGAATTTTGGTGGCGAGAAAAACGAACAAACCAGCGTTAGGGACAACGACCTTGTGAGGTTGGGTCGGGTTCGTTGAAACAATGTGTCGAGTTGAGATTAGGTGCCAGAAGAGGGTGGAGTGGATATGTCTGAATTGAAAGGGTCGCACATCCAAACAGGCCGAGGCGTTTGACCCGTAAACAGGTCATGCTTGCAGCCGACAAGTATGCGTTCTAGACGCAATGTCTCGCTAACAAGGGTGCAAAAGCCGCATCGGCAGCAACAACGCACAACAGCTCTGCCGAACATTTTCATCCACGACTGTCCGCGAGGTCTACCCTGTGGCGTTGCAATCACCAGCATCACTTTCACCTGGAATCGTTCGTCCGAGTTGACCACCTGGGGCAGCAGTTTCTCCGCCGTCAACACACGATCCTGCGTTGACGGCGGAAATAGAAAATAATACATGCCAGGCGGACATCCGAACGAAGAGGAGGGGAAATTGCTTCCTGGAAAGATGAAGTAAATTCGCGCGCTAATAAAACCACAAACCAAAAAAGTCGGGGAGCAACACGTACAGAGAGGCCACCATATCGGGTATGGTCAACTTCACGAACGATAACTACAGCAAGCTCACATGTTCTCGTTGGTGATTGAAGCAAGACAGCTAAGTCCTTCCGGATGCCCTTTCGCACTCAGGCGAACGCAATAACTGCAAGCGCGCGAAACAGACCAGGAGTCGCCACGAGCATGCGAACCTTCCTTCCTACTTGTCAACGACTCGATAAACGCCAAAAAAAATGTTTTCTGGCGGGTAGCGCTCAGACTCTCGGACAGAATACCCTGCCGTTGGCATGCCTCCGCCGCAAACGAAAAATAGGAATTCCTCGTGCTGTAGTGACCTTACAACAGAAGTTTTCAAAGGGCTCACTAGCACACTTGGAGGATCCAGACACTAAGACCACAAGGTAGCAGGGTGCGAGGTGCTGCCCCTTGTATCAGTACGCCGACCGTGATTCATGGCATTCAACGTTAGTCAAGTGTTTGTAGTAGTCAGCCTCTCACCTGGTCCCGTTCGACGAGCGCAGCCATCATCTCGGCCTGCATAGCCGTGAGCAGCAAGTCCGTGTGCATCGCCGCGTTCTCGAACATCCTCAGGCGCTCCGTCGCTGTGTTCATCTAGGAACGTCAGAAACACGAACAAGCATTAGTGGATGGACGATGTGGTAGAGGGTCGTATACCTGTCTGCAGACGACGTTTCGTCGAGGAAAAAGAGGTTCAGGACAAATTGTTACCGATGTGTAGAACGTCGAGGGCGGCGTAGTTTATGCCCTCGAGTGTAAGGCGGTGATCCTACCTCGTTCCGTCCAGTTATTCTTGCACCCGTACCCTCTCCCCGTTCGCAAGAACTTATCCGCCCTACTCACTCTATCTCAAAATGGCCTGAGGCAACACGTACCGATCTACGTTTCCCAGACGCCATTTGAATGTCCTTCGCCAAGGAGATACTGTGGCTCACAGGTAACGAGGATGTTGTCACCATCCTCACCGCCAACACTCAAACCCAGTGCGGGCTAGATATCTTCACGACGATTTGTTTCCCTATACCCTACTAGTAGCATGTTTTGGTCACCTGACGTTCAAGGACGAGCCCCAACCATGCACTCCTTTGAGTCCAGCTTCACCCGTTTCCTAGCCGAAACGGCAGCAAACCGCATATCACGAACATCGTAATATAGGGTTTCGCTGAGTATCACGGAGGCGTTGTTCCACCCTTCTTACTCACATGTCGGATGTTATCCACCATGGCCGCCAGCCCTTCGGCAGATTCGACGTTGATCACGTCGCCAGGGTACCTTGAGGCCCTAAAGAAAATCGCGTAAGCCCCTTCTCGAGGCACTGGCCATGGTTTTGCTTTGGGGGGTTCCATGAGCCTGCCTTTCTGACGCGCGGGGTCCTTTATTTCAAGGACATTTTGGGAACGGGTTCGTAGAGGTATGGGCTTGGGGGCTTCGGCGGTGATAACGTGCCGGAGGTGAGGGGGCTCGGGGGGTGGCATACGATACGAAATTGGTTTGTGCGATTGGTGTTGACATGATGTGGGGCTTGTTCCGTGTCCAGAATTATTGGTGGGAAGAAGGGGCTGTTCCTGAGTTCCTTTCCTGGCTTTTTGTTCTTGGCCGAGCGATTGAGTTGGGGGCGTTTGGAATATATGCGAAGCCAGTTCGAAGGTAATGAATTTTGAACTTTCAAAAATTGTTTGGGAAATGTTCCAAATTGTTCGATGACCTCCGAAGTTTAACACGTTTGAAAATCCGGCGTGTATAAAACGCTCCTTACGTTACCAGTCTGGTGATTATCTTCGTTAGAACGTGATTTGTCAAAGGCGCCGAAGGATGCGGGCATACGCTATTGCCGCTGATGCCATTGGTGACGTTAATGCTGTTGCCATGTGATCATTGATGCCGT